GAGGAAAATAAGTATTTGAACACTGCAACTTTGAAAGTTCTCCCACTTAGAAATCATGGAGGGGTCTGAAATTTTCATCTTAGGTGCATGTCCACTGAGACATAATCTTAAAAAAAAAAAAAAATCAGAATCACAATGTATGATTTTTAAAAATAATTTATTTGTGTGTTACTGCTGCAAATAAGTATTTGAACAGCTGTGAAAAAGTAGCCTTTGTTTGCAGTTACAGAGGTCAAATGTTTCCTGTAGTTCTTCACCAGGTTTACTGCAGCAGAGACTTTGGCTCATTCCTCCACAGATCTTCTCTAGATCACCAGGTTTCTGGGCTGTCGCTGAGAAACACAGAGTTTGAGTTTGAGCTCCCTCCAAAGATTTTCTATAGGGTTTAGATCAGGAGACTGGCTGGACCACTCCAGAACCTTGATATGTTCTTACGGAGCCACTCCTTGGTTCTCCTGGCTGTGTGCTTCGGGTCATTGTGATGTTGGAAGACCCAGACACGTCCCATCTTCAATGCTCTTAACTTCTCTTTCTTCCCCAACAATCTTTCTTTCTATCACTTCTTTTTGACACACCATTTGTAATTTCAGTGCTTTGTTCTTTTGTTCGGCATTTTTACAAATAAGCAGATTTCATCCCTTAGGACTTTAGCTAACGCTACATCCCCAATTGCTTTTTTTAATCCATTTGACAAACTGATAGGACTTATTCCCACCATATTCCCACCTGAAATTTTAGTATAATCTTGGCATCTTCCATCATTATTTTCTTTCTTATTTCAGTTCTTTCTTCCTCTCCCTCAAGAGCTCTTTTACCAGTTCTCCCTTTTATAAAATTTTCTTTTCCTCCTTTCTTCTTATTCTCTACCCTAGACCATCCTATATCCATATCGTCATCCTCCGAAAGCCCACCACTACTACTAGCCATCTTAATCCACTCACAATCCAGATTATGCCAAAAACACATTTAAATTCAGCTTTTTACTCGCCAACTGTCGTTTCTGCGTCCTGCTACCGCACTTACGCCTCACACGCCGAAATCAGCAAAACCACAAACCACTCTGAACAGCTCTTTGGTCTTAGTCATGTTAGCAGTTGGAGTCTTACTGATTGTGTGGGGTGGACCGGTGTCTTCATGCAGCTAACCACCTCAAACAGGTGCTTCTAATTTAGAATAATAAGTGGAGTGGAGGTGGACGTTATAGAGGCAGACTAACAGGTCTTTGAGGGCCAGAACTGTTGCTGACTGGCAGGTGTTCAAATACTTATTTGCAGCAGTAACACACAAATAAATTATAAAAAAAATCCTACATTGCGATTTCTGATATATATATATATATTTTTAGATTATGTCTCTCACAGTGGACATGCACCTAAGATCAACATTTCAGACCCCTCCATGATTTCTAAGTGGGAGAACTTGCAAAGTCGCAGGGTGTTCAAATATTTTTTTCCTCACTGTAGAAGACAGACACCAAAACACTTTTGTGGGAATCAGTTTGTTAAAGTGTCTCCTTAGATTGAAGAAGTCCTTTGGGTGAAGGACAAAACGTCTCGGCAAATAAAGAAACCGTCCAGATGACCTGACTAAACATTGTTGGATTTCTACCTGGATTATTGAGCATGAACTTTGGTGCCAAGAAGTATTCTTACATGAAAGAAATGATCAACCAAACACAAAATGCCTTACTTTTTATGCTATTTATATTACATTACAATAAATATTTTGTCAGTGAAGAAGACTTGTCCAGGTATAATTTTCCTACAGTTTGAAGTAAAGTTGTGCAGAAACTTTGGAAAAATATTGTAACTTTTCTTTCAATAGCTTATATTATAAAATACATAAAAAAGTAATGAAAAAATTATGTTCTTGTAGTAGAAAACTTCCTCACATTAAACATATTTTTAAAGAGGTTAAAGGAATACCAAAGACATCCATCCATCCATCCATCCATCCATCCACCCATCCATCCACCCATTATCTTCCACTTGGTCTGAAGTCTGGTCTCAGGGGCAGCATCTTGAGCAGGGAGGTCCAGTCATCTCCTCTGGGAGGACCCCAAGGTGTTCCCAGACCAACTGAGGGACGTAGTCACTCCAGCATGTCCTGTGTCTTCCCCGGGGTCTCCTCCCAGTCGGACATGCCCAAAGCACCTCCCTAGGGAGGCACCCAGGAAGCACCTTACCAGATGCCTGAACCACCTCAACTGACTCCTTTCAAACCTTTTGTCTTTTTACTAAAGAGATCAGAGAGAGAGAGAGAGATTTATTTGACATTCGCATCTCGTGGTACATGTGGTGTAACGAGATTATGTACACAGGGTCCCAGTTACATCCAACAATAAAATGTAAAAGAAAAACGGTAATAAGATCAAAGATATGAACTAAGAAAAACATCAACTAAATATACACTAAGCACTAGTAGCATAAAAACATTACGTCCAACAGCAGCATGAACATGAGTATGTGTGAGCAGATGAGCACGCATGAACACATCAACATTGAAACAGATCAGCAGCAACATTGAAACAGATCAGCAGCAACATGAAACAGATCAGCAGCAACATGATGTGATTTTTCACAGTGATTATTCTGGTTAGAGATTCATGAGTCTAACAGCTTCAGGGTAGAAGCTGTTCCTCAGTCTAGTGGTTCTACACTTAATGCTCCTCAACCTCCTTCCTGAGGGGAGTGGGGCAAAAAGTGTGTGTGCTGGGTGAGTGGGGTCCTTCATGATGCAGGTGGCCCTCTTCCTGCATCTGCAGGTGTAGATGTCTGTGATGGTGGGGAGACTGACTCCAACATCTTCTGTGCAGCCTTCATGCTACGTTGATGCTGGAGCACAGAATGTTCTCCACTTCACACCTGTAGAAGGAAGTGAGGACTGAGCTTCTCAGTCCAGCTCGTCTCAGTTGCCTGATGGACTTTCTTGATCAGGCTGGTAGTGTTGTTGCTCCAGCTGAGGTTGTCATTCAGGTGTACACCCAAGTACTTGTAGCTGGAGACCACTTCCACTGCAGATCCTCTTATGTTCAGGGGTGTGTAGGTGAGTTTGTTCCTTCTGAAGTCCACAATCATCTCCTTTGTCTTCTTCACATTGATGTGAAGGTTATTCTCTTTGCACCAGCTCTCCAGGTGTTTCACCTCTTGCCTGTAGCTGGACTCATCATTGTTTGTGATGCATCCCACCACCACTGTATCATCTGCAAACTTTACAATGTGACAGCCTGGATGGGTAGCTGCACAATCATACGTGAGCAGAGTGAACAGGAGGGGGCTCAACACACATCCCTGAGGAGAGCAAGTGCTGAGGGTTATGGTGAAGGAGGAGAAGTTGTGGATCCTCACTGACTGTGGTCTGTTTGTTAAAAAGTCTAGTACCCAGTTGCAGATGGAGGGGCTTAGTCCTAGTGTGGATAGTTTGTCCATCAGGGTTTGGGGGATCATGGTGTTGAAGGCAGATG